ACTCTGGCCATAGATTCTTAATCATATCATAGAGTATTCTCCCTCAAACGGTTTGAAGGTTAGAGATCCCTTGTTGCGCATTCACTTGCCTCCATGGCTAAGTGGCTTAACCCCAACTATGTCGTGGATACCCTCTGATGGAGTGACTTTGACATAGTCAAAGATCAAGGACCTAACCACAAGACAACTATGATGCCTCAGGTTAAAGGACTACTTTGCATTATCTCAACCATGAGTTCTCATGTGACATGAGTATGAGAACTCCTTGTTGATCGCGTTCAGTGAACTCATTCTCTATTAAGCACCTACGTACTTGTCTTGGTGTCAGTCACACCAATGACTCGAGACCAGTCACTCTCCCTAAGAGAAGACATAGCACGTACTAATCTTAACGGACTGTCAATGCCCAATTGGCAATCCTATAATCAGGAATGTTTAGGATATGTATACGAAAGAGAATGGTCTCATGAATCTAACTTCTTTAGATCGCATTCTCCCAATTACATATTCCTTGGACTTATCGTTTAAGCGTATAACATTTATTTGAGACGGCTTCAAACAATAATCTTTGCCCTTTATATTAAACTATATTAGTTTAACATATGAAATGTTCGTAAAATATCATCATATTATTAGTTTTAGGGCACATTTCCAACAACAAAATCAAGCTTTGACAAGTTCGCCATTTTCTTTTCTGAAAGAAAAATGAGATGTGTAAGAACTTGCAATAATATGTATTCTTGGAGGAATATAGTGTTAGAACTTCTGGTTCTTACAAATTTTTCATTTTGATCTTCAGGCCAAAATGATAAGCACTCGAAACTTCCCGCTCGAGTTTTACATGATTAATGAGAAGGGCGATTGTACCGCACCATTCTCATTAAAGTAAGCATAGGATGGGTGATTGTTTCTCACCACTCAACCTGCAAGAAAATTTAAATTTGCAGGGTGGACGATTATACCGCACCACCTAAAATTACAGTAAAATTAAATAGCAGACAAATTTAAATATGCAAGGTGGACAATTATACCACACCACCTAAAATTGTATTAAAATTAAATCTGCAGTCCAAGATGGGCAATGATACCGCACCTGTCACATCCCAGCCTGGGCCCCCATCACATCCCGGGCTCGACTCCACCGTAGCACGATATTGTCTGCTTTGGGTCCCGACCATGCCTTCACGGTTTTGTTTCTGGGAACTCACATGATAACTTCGCAGAGGGTCACCCATCATAGGAATGCTCTCGCGCAAACTCGCTTAACTTCGGAGTTCCGATGGAACCCAAAGCCAGTGAGTTCCCAAAAGGCCTCGCTCTAGGTAGAGATGGAAATATACATATAAGGCTTACAGGATCCACTCCCCTGGGCGATGTGGAATGTCACAGTACCATCTTTGATCGCAGTAAAATTAACATAAATAAATACTAGGTTAGTAATTAGGAACTAGACCAAACAAGAAATCAAATATATAAGTAATTGTTAAATTGAGAACGAGAAGCAGGCAAGGTGCAAACAGTTCTTCACAAGGGATATCCAGCAGGTAAGGCAAAGGAAGAAGAAGAACAGTAAAATCCTAGGAGGAAACATTTTTTTTCTTTGGGTAAAGGGAAATGAGAAATGATAAGAGAGTCGTGCTGATAACGTGTTACAAATAGGCAAAAATTAGGTAAATAACCTTTGCTAAAGACAGGAGCGAAGCTAGTGCAAAATATCACACTATAACTTTAGTAGCTATAACACAAAGGATGGCAGATAAAGAGAGGGAGGGAGATATACTGATATTATTTCTTTGATTCTTTCTTTCGCATTGTGTGTTTTGATAACACAGGATCGCTCTATTTATAGAGCTACTCCCATGAGAACATCCAAAGATGATATGATAGCTATTTTTGACAATATTACATAACAACAAATATATCACTATCCTTTTCACCTTTTTCCAAATGCATGTGGGATGTGGGTATACTAATGCATGTGGGATGTGGGCATACACCATACAGCTTTTACAACACTTAACAATTTTTTTTTTTAAGAAAATGATATAATTTTATTGTTGTAAGTCTTGGTTGAGCATCACCCTTATAATGACGAAGAATATACGCGATTGAGCATTCAACGAACTCAGTCATTGACTCCTTGATATCAGAAGCAATAAAACCAAGACTTGAGTAATCAATAGTTCCTCCTTTGTATGTATTTTGACATGCATATGCAGTTGCTGAGCATTAACGTATTTATTATTTTTTTTATAAATTAAATGTCTTTCGCGATGAAACTAATTTTGTCGGGTGAGAGAAGACTGTGTCGACAAAATATCCATGACGACAAACACATTTTGTTGGCTGAAAAGTAATATTTTGTCTGCTTAAAAGCCCTATACCAATGAAATATATGTTAGGAAAGATGTAAATACCGACAAAAAGAATTTGTTGAAAAAAAAAATTGAACCTTTAGCCGACGAAATACCAAAATTCATCAACAAAACTTTTGCACGAAATGCTTTGGGCGACGAAATGGCCAACAAACGTTGTCGTCGGTGACTCTTTGCCGACAAAGTAATTTGTCGGCTTAAAGTCGAAGCTTCTTGTAGTGCGTTTCTTTTAATTTATTGCCATGTTTATAATTTTTATTTTACTCTCAATGTTGTCCATACTATATAGTTTTATTTAGACATGTTTAAGGAGTTAGTTGTCCCTTCTATTCCATTTAGGTAAAAACTCCCGTAAGGTCAAACCACACCTCTCGTACGGTCTAAATCCCCACCCCTACCCCAAAAAGTCCAAAGGGTAAGCTGAGATAATTACAATAATGGATAGGGGTATGATATCCACACACCCTATTTTACTTTTCACACACCTTTTTAATTTTCGGTCGTCCGATCAAATGAATTGAAGAAGATCAACGGACATAAATTATCAAGAGTGCATGAGAAATAAAATGGGGTGTGTGGATAGCACACCCCTAATGGATAATACTTGCATGTCATCGACCTAAATGCACATATCTCATTCCTGGGAACATATATTCTCCGTATAATTTTATAATCAAAATCGTTTAATTATTAATCTTTATTTAAAGATCATGTCAAGAAATACTCTTATGATAAACCATTTGTTTATTTGAAACATTTCACAATGATCTCTTGTTTAAAAGTTTATTTGTAGGGATGGTCCTCAAATGAAACTAAGTAATTGAACGACTCATTATAAATATTATATCAACTCAATCAGAGGAATAGTCCCTCAACTAAAAATTCATGACTATTAGTCCCTTAACTCATCAAAACGAGTAACTATGATTATTTTCATCAACTCCATTAAAACTTTAGTCAAAATAAGTCACATGTCACGCACGTGAGGCTGAATCAATGGGCAAAGATAGAAAACCAAATGAAAAAAAAATTTGTAGCAATGGTCCCTCAACTTTAACCTAATTAGAGCAATGGTCCCTCAACTTTGACCCCCATTATAGCAATGGTTCTTCCAACATGAGTCATTTTAACGGAATTTTAATGGAGTTAACGAAAAAGACCATAGCTGCACGTTTTGATGAGTAATGAGACTAATGGTCATGGATTTTTAGTTGAATGACCTTTGCTACAATTTTCTCCTTAAATTACAACATAATATTTCAAAAAAAAATCAAAAGAAAAAGAAACATAGAAAAGGATAATCATCCATTAGGTATGCAACATATATGATCACATGCTCTCAATAATAGTCACGATTATCTTCCAACGATGATTAATTAATTAAATTAAGGGAGGTGATCTTCGTGATCTCGAGGACCATATATCTCTAATTATATAGATTAGCTGGAAATGAATATTGAATCGTATACTAGAGCGGGGCAATCTCCAGCAAGAGACTGAATGCCACTGCAGCAATACAAAGATATAGGAAAGGTAAGATATATATCGTTGTCGGCTTTGGAGAATGTGCATTTATAGTCAAATTCCAAAAGTCCGAATGGAAAATACAAGAGGGTATGTGGATGTGGTTGCTTTAGGTCATTTTATTCTTTATACTACAAAGACCTCACGTCATGAGAATGAAAATACAAGTGATGAAAAACACACAATCAGGATCTCTAGTTCTCTTGTAATCATAATTTTTTGCAACAGATTTGTTTTGGTAGCGTTTGTAGTTGCGTGCATGTGAGGGTTTACTCTAGTTGTTTGTTTGCGCAAATTTACTTCAAATAAATTTTTTAGTCGTCGAAACAATGCATTCAATTGACAATTGTATTTGTGTTGTGATGATAAATGAAATACCACTATCATTACTTGTAAAATGGAAATTCCACTCTTGAGTTGGGGTGGTATATTCAGTTCATGGAGAAACAAATCATCAAAAGTCAAGGGTATGTGTTTCGGAAGGGTAATGCAAGAGATATCAAATTTTTTTTTTTAAGGATAATGTTAGGGTGATCAAAATTTTTAAACCAAATGATGTGTCATCAAGAAGACACAAATACGTTAATCGACATTTAATTAATCATCAAATCATCTACAATCATATCATTTGGTTTAAAAAATATGGTCTCCCTAGCATTACCCAATTTTTAAACCAAATTTTCTAAACCAAATGATGTGGTTATTGATGATTTGATTATTACTTAAGTGTTGACTAACGTGCTTATTTCCTATTAATGACTCATCATTTGGTTTACAAATTTGATTAAAAAATTTAGTTTACCTAGCATTATCCATTTCAAAAATCAAACTAAATCAAAATAATAGCATATTGAGCTCTTTGTCCAATACATATACTTATTCGTATGTGTAAATGTTGATATTAACGATCCCATGTTATTATGATAGTGATCTTCCATGCGTGTGGATCCATAATATGAAAACTGAAATAAATAAACAAATAAATTATGGGAAGCATGCAATAATCTGCAAATGGGAGTATTAAAATAGGCGTGCACCTTTTGCCTTTAATGAGAGGAAATCGAGGGAAGATAGAGCGGAGATATGCGACTAACAACTAGGTACCAAATCTTATAGCTGCCTCAAAAAGTTCCAATAATTTTCAAATACAATCAAACCACAACTTGATTGCCATGTACTACACCAATCATGCAATCTCTCTCTCTCTCTCTCTCTCTCTCTCTCTCTCTCTCATGTGTGTGTGTGTATACATAATTCTACATGAAGCACAATCATGGTGTTGACAGAGTTCAGCTGTCGTCGACTGCAGAAGAAAATATATCCAGTTGAACACAAGCTAGCACTACAATATATCGTTTGTTCATGAGGTCGGTAATTTCAATTTTTGTTTTTTTGTTTTAAATTTTCAGTGAGTCTCTGAACTATAATTCTTAAATCCTACTGCATATTCGAAAACGTAAGATAAATTTCATGCTTGCCTGCAGCAGGCTTGTTTTACGATAATATTGGTTACTAGTTTTTGTTCATGCGTATATTACAGCATTCTGTTAAGCAGCAACAACACAGCTCGCACTTATACACCTATAGCTCACACTTTGTCAGTTTACTATAGAACCTCCCTGTCTCTTAGATATGAGTATGTTTGTGACCTTCTGAGAAAAAGAAGGGAAAGAAAAATAAATAAATAACTTTCCTCCACTCTTGTGTACCTTCTCCTCCATTTCCGTTTTAGTTTTTAGTTTACCTTTTGTATACCCTTATCCACAGCTTTCCTCACTCTTCTTCATCTCTCCTTTCTATCATAGACTTAAATTCTCCATATCCCAAGCACATAAAACATAAAAAAAACCTAAATATATATAAAAGATTAAATGATTATCAAACGGACTCAATTAGTTAAATTAGCTATTATAAATGGAAAATATTGTCACAAAATTTTCTAGTATATAAACTAAGAATTATATAAACTAGGAATTTAAATTGCCATCCAGTTTTCCTTTGCATTAAGCTTGAGATGGCCATTCATGTGTAATGTACTTTTAGGTGTTTGGTTCACATGTAAAAGGATTTGACAATGAGAAATCACTTATTTTCTAATGTTTGGTAAGTTCATGATTGGGAAAAAGTTACATATCTTATGGGAATATGAGAGGAAAATGAAGCAATCATCCAACTTGAATTTTACTATCCTTTCTCATGGAATAAAGACAAAAGTTAAGAATCCAGATCCTCTCCGGATCCTCTTTGTGAGGATCCGAGAGATTTGTAAATTGTGTCCGTTCATCATTTATCGTGCGGTCAATTTTCGTCAAATACGGTTTGTGTTCAATTTTAAATAATAAAATTTAAAATGAATTTTGACCGTACGATGTACGATGAACGAACACGATATACGAATCTCCTGAATCCTCACAAAGAGAATCCGGAGAGGATCCTTATTCCAAAGTTAATTATGCGTTGTATGATTGTGGGGAACAAATTTCACACAACCGTAAAATTATTTTAGTGTCTCTACAACCAAGAAAGGAATAAACATGTTAGACTTGGTCACACAAGTGTGGTGTGCGTCAAGAGCTTTTTGATGCTTAAGTTCGACTTCGTGAATATAATGAATACTTCTTAAAGCTCTAGATTCTTGGTAGAGTAACTGATACCTCTTCATGGTCGATGATCATGTTTATATAGAGCAACAAGTCTAAGTTTGAAAGTGAATCATTAGGGCAATGTGTGATATTCCCTGAGTGATCGGTTTGAGACTCGCAATCCCGCCCATTAAGCTTTTAGACATTTGATTTTGGGGGACTTAGGCACCAATTAAAAGGCCCACTTAGAGAGACAACTCCATCAGATATCGTAGCCTGTGACTGGGCCGAGACCATAGGGATTGTTATTCCCTTTGCTGATTCCATAGGATAACTCCTTATCCAACCATGCCAGGCTAAATCCTTTATGTTAGATTATGCATATCTAACACGCGAACTCGACAAAGGAGTCTCCTCTCCTACATTCCCGAGACATGGCCTCTTAACAGTGTGAAGCCAAGCGTGGGCATGTTAAATCTTCAATAGACGGTAACATATTTATGTCCACGTGTTAAATCTTCAACAGGCGGCGGTAATTTTTGGTAACTACAATAACCAACATACCATTTGTTTTTTTTTTTTAAGTTAACGATAGTATCCACGTTAAGAGTTGAGGAAAGCTAAACACCAATTGTATACTTCGAATTAAGGGATTTAATTGAAATATAAATTTCGGCATAGGTTCATGAACATTATAGCATAAGTGGATAGAAACATTTATGCTCTTCGACTGTAAGGTCATTATAAACCATTATCGTTATTAACTTTTCCTTGAAAATATTTCGTGACCACAAAAAAATTAGGTCAGGCTTAACAAAACCTTTAATAATTAAAATATATTGAGAAACGTCCAGTTTTGGTTAGACCTGACAATTTCTTACATGACACATAAACGACACGAAAATAACAAGTTTCTGGTCAACACGATAACTAATCCGGGTCATTATCGAGTCACACGATAAGAACTCATTAATAACGGATCTAACATGTTTACATAAGGGTAACACGTGAGTAACCCGTTTTGACATGTTAAGAAAAAAGTTAGTTTGATGATTTTAATTTTTAAACTACTATAAAATCCAATAGCCATAGTGTATAGTATGTATTGTATATTAATATGTATAGTGTATTATTATTCTACATAAATTTAAAATTTTAAGTTTTATTTATTTATTTTTATAGTATACTATAGGCAAAGAGTAAGATTAAAAAATTATAAAACACGTTAAAAATAAAATATCAAGTAATTTTAAAATACCAAAACATTAAAAATAAAAATATCAAGTGATTTAAAAATACCAAACACATTTGAATGGTTTACAATGTTTGGTTTTTTATGCTTAGTTTATGTGGAAGAGAGTGTTAATGTGGAAAGCCTTAAAGAAAACATAGTCAATATAACTCTTGAAAACGATATATAAAACCAAAGTTCCAATACCATTTCCCTTGGTGATTGATGAAAATTGAAGGGTTTTTATTGTAAAAAATGTGCAAGGTTCCTCAACCTTGAAACAACTCCCTTCATTTTGCATATCTTTGAACATTTGCTATTTTATAGTAATGTACTAATGTTTTTTCATTAGGCTCATATTTTGGGGTATGTAATACTTGAAAGACAATTTTTTTTTTTCTTTTTAAAGTTTTGAAGTAATATTTATGTGACAACGTGATATGCATATTGACACACCCCAACCGAGATCAAAGCATGTTGGCCGTCACGTGAGGGTGACGTAGCCATGTGCACAGTGTGAAAGCAATAAATATAAGAAATATACGAATAAATAAAAACCGAAAACTACTAATGTGCACTAATAAACAGGAAGTGCTAGGAGTGAGATACAAGTGTAAATACTCCTAATCAGAGCATAGAAAGTCTAGGTGCAGTCCAGTAGGACAAGTACTAGTTATACAGTACCAGAAAATATCCTACAATTATTTTATTATGTCAGAACCGCCGAAATCCTTGTACGCCACCAACCGCAAGTCTACCTAAAACCTGGAGGGGCGCAAAACAGAAAATGTGAGTGGGTAAAAACAAATGTCTTTCAAAACCATTTCATCATTAAAATGCTCTAACCCCTCGTCGTAAAACATGTATAATTTTCCCATAATAGAATATAAACATAGTCATATATATATATATATATATATATATATATATATATGTATGTATGTATGTATATTTCAATTCAATTCATGCTTCACATAACCATATTCATAAGTATGCCATGCCAAAACATAAAATAGAATAAGTAACTCAGGTGAGAATAAATTCATGGAAAATAACATATTAGCCGGAACCCCTGCAAAAGTCTGTATGGCTGAATTCATAGCTCATTATTCAATCTAGCCGGAGTCACTACAATGACCTATACAGCACTACACTGCACATAAGTCGAAACCACTAAAAGGGTATGTACGACAAGACTGGGTGTAATATAATTATGCTCAATACTACACTCTCATGATAGCTGGGCGATAAATCACTAGTCACCTATGAGTCGGAACCACCTATGATAGTATGTACGACAAGACTGTGCACCTAAATTGGATCCAAAGTGAGCATATGGTGCGGGAGGTGACATTATAAAAAGGCATGTGCCATATCTCTGGCTAAATCACAATCACCCTAAGTGCAGGTTTATGACCTCAATGTTTCTCAATCACAACTTTAATCACAATCACAATTCATAACTCACCTGGGCTTACCTGAGCGTCCACAACACCACAATTATATAATATGCATCATATACTAGTTCATATACGGAATATAAATTTATATGCATGGCATTTAAAGGCATACTTTCATTTAAACGTATTTTCTCGGAAAATATCAAGTATATAAGTGTATACTGAAAACCAAAAGCCCACTCACTGGTATGTCGAAAGGTCGTAGCCCCTGAGTCACCCTTGACTGCACTCATCCTCGGGATAAGTCTCCCCTATATGCGAAACAACTATAAAAACGTTAATTTAAAGCACATAACCAATACTAGCTAATAACTTCTCATACATTGCTCAAATGGGATGTTTGAATATACCAACGTGATCTACACAACCTCACAAACATCTCCATATTTTTAGAAAAAAATTTCGACCACCCACACACCGCCACGCGCCTCCCACACACGGGCAGGTGCCGTGCACACTGACAGTAATCCCTAACGGCGTTAGGGAATATTCCGTTAAAAAGTAGCATATACCGTTAAAACTAACATGACGCCATTGGAATATTATGTCAAACTTGACGGAATATTCGATCGTCTCCTTCCTTGGTTCGCCGGATCGTCGCTGTCGTCGGAAAAAATGGAAAAATTTTAAACCTTTATATCTCACCCATTTTTCATCCAAATTTCATGAAACCAGTACCAAAATGAAGCTCTTAACTTGTAGAACATTTCTTTACCTATTTAAAGCCCCAAAGATCACGAGATCTCGCCGGAGAATTCGAGAGAAACCGGCTAAACTTGAAACTCACAATCCCGACGTCCAAAGCTACCCAACGAGCTACCCCGAGCTTCATGAAAACCTTCTAAAGCTCCCTGTGAGCTTAAAATCCTCTAAAAACTCTTCGTTTGAACGTGCATGAACAGTGCCAATTTTGGGGTAGGGTTTTTCACAGGTTTTCCGAAGCTTCGAAGTCTTAAAAATGGTATGGTTGAGTTCGTGATGATGAGATGAAAGTGATGGTACTAATCACGAGCTCGATCTATGCAGAAATGGGTTGGTTTGAGGTTCATCTCTACGAGTTGTACAAAAATGGAAGAAGATCCGAGAGAGGGAGGAAAGAGAAAGGTCAACGGAAGCTGTGGGTGTGTGTGTGTGTGTGTGGTCCAATTTGGGTCACTAATCACAACAAAAAATTACTAACTTAAATTCCAAAAACTTTAGAACTAACCAATTAAGTTTAAACCCAACTTAGCCATAACACCACATAACAAACTCAATGTCCAAGGGCAATTTAGACATTTCGTCGGGTCATATTACCTGATACTATTAACGGTTTGATTGCAGGTCGAGTCATATTACATGTTTACTTTAACAAGTGTTACACGACACGACCCGTTAAGATATCGAGTATGTCACAAAAACGACACGAACACGAAAAACACGACATGCATAGGTGGAAATGAGCTTTAGATTGTTTTGAATCTGGTGTTGGGTGTGGTAAGTGAGCTTAACATTGTTTTGAATCTGGGAAGTATAGGTGGAAGTTCAACACCATATTTACTAGGATATTGAACTACATGCTTACTAATCCTTGTATATAAATTTATTTGAGGAACACCTCAATAATCTTATTTGAGGGACACCTTGTGTGGCCCAATCTATAATGGATGTCGACAATCTAACCATTGACCAACTTATTGGGTTGTATGTGTGTGTTAGGGTAAACTACCGTTTGACCTCAGGAACAATTACCTTAGTTGAAATTGAATATATGAACTATTTTTTTGGTAAATTATCCCATGATCTATTTAAAATTAGTCAATTAACCCTTTAATGTCAAATTTTGTCCGCAATTATATACTGACTTGTGATCAGCACATTATTCACTTTTAAGAGTAAAATCATGCATAATATTTGACGACAAAGTAGACGAAATTTCATCAAATCTATCAATAAAAAGTTAATTAACTGATTTCAAATAATTCAAGAGTTAAACTTACCAAAAAAATTAGTTCATATAGCCATTTTTGATTGAAATAATAATTCAAGAGATCAAACAAACATAGTGCACAATAAATTGGTATAAAAAACTGATCGAGTTATTTTGGTGGTGGTATAGAATTGTGAGTTGTAACATGCGGTGGGTGGTAGACAGGTGTCAGTGTTGTGAGCAATCGATGTCTCTAGGGAGGGAGCTAGCTATTCAGCTATCCCTCTGCCATTTTATCAAGCAGTTACTAGAGTGGCTACCCACTCAACATACTTGTCGCAGTCACAGCTTGTAATTTTCTATTTATAATTTCATCAATTTATTTATAAAAAAAAACTAATAAAAATGATTTAAAAATTTTAAGTTTTAACGATAAGAATAAAATGAATAGTACCATAATTGACTTTTTAGTGTAAAAATGTGATTTTTCATTAAATAAATAGTACCGGAAGCTTTTTATTAAAGTTTCCTTAATTTTTTAGTGGTCAAACTTTGTATTTTTCTTATAGGGTCACTGGTATTAGAGAGTATATCCTCTACACGCTGACACGTTTTGGTTTGTTGTTTCTCTTTATTTCTTACTCAAACTTAGGTCTGGCAATTCCTGACACGACCCGATAACTCGACACGACACGACACGAAATTAACAGGTGTTTGGGTCGACACAATAACGAATCGGGTCGTTATCGGGTAACCCGATAAGCACCTGTTAAGATAACGGGTTGGTTCGGGTATACACGTGGGTAACACGATACACGATAAGCAGAATATTAATTTAATAATTTTATAACCCTATATATATATTAAATTAACTATAATAATTATAATAATTATATATACTATAATAATTATACCCCCAAAATATTAACTATAATAATTATATATATATAATTTTAAATTAAATTTTATACCCCGAAATACTATAATAATTATACGTACAAAATAAATAGATTTAAATATACTTAATAAATATATATATATATATACCATTGAACTTGATGGGATACGAATTATACGAAACTAATTTCAACGATCCAACCATCAAACTTGTTTGTATATGCTTCGAGATTGCATCATTAAAAAATCGCAAAAAACAAACATTCAGAGATCAAGTAACCGAACAAAACTTTTCGACGGTTATAAAACAAAAAATTACGATTTAACGGTTATTTGAACTCCGATTTTGATGATTTTTTACAATTACCCTCCTTGACCCTATATGAATACAATGAATGAATTCGATCTTCAATTTAAAATATTTACACTAGTGGATACCACAAAATCTTATGTTATACTTAATGAAAGTATGAATAAAGTCTTAAGTGTTAGTGAATATATTGTTTTGATGCGATACACATTCTACGAAACTAGTTTCAACGATCCAACCGTCAAACATGTTTGTATATACTTCGAGATCTCATACGCCAAAAATTGCAAAAAAAGAAACATTCAGAGATTAAGTAACTGAACAAAACTTTTCGACGGTTATAAAATGAAAACTCACGATTTAACGGTTATTTTAACTCCGATTTTGATGATTTTTTACAGCTACACTCATTGACCCTATATGAATACAATGAATGAATTCGATCTTCAATTTAAAATATTTACACTAGTGGATACCACAAAATCTTGTTATACTTAATGAAAGTATGAATAAACTCTTAAATGTTAATGAATTTATTGTTTTGATGGGATACGTATTCTACAAAACTAGTTTCAATGATCCAACCGTCAAATATGTTTGTATATACTTCCAGATCGCATACACCAAAAATTGCAAAAAAACAAACATATAGAGATCAAATAATGGGACAAAACGTTTCGACAATTATAAAAAGAAAAATCACGATTTAATGGTTATTTTAACTCCGATTTTGATGATTTTTTACAACTATACTCCTTGACCCTATATGAATACAATGAATGAATTCGATCTTCAATTTAAAATATTTACACTAGTGGATACCACAAAATTTTATGTTATACTTAATGAAAGTATGAATAAATTCTTAAGTGTTAGTGAATCTATTGTTTTGATGAGATACGCATTTTACGAAACTAGTTTCAACGATCCAACCATCAAACATGTTTGTATATACTTCAAGATCGCATACGTCACAAATTGCAAAAAACAAACATTCAGAGATCAAGTAACGAGACAAAACTTTTCGACGGTTATAAAATGAAAAATCACAATTTAACGGTTATTTTAACTCCGATTTTGATGATTTTTTACAGCTATACTCCTTGACCCTATATGAATACAATGAATGAATTCGATATTCAATTGAAAAAATTACACTAGTGGATACCACAAAATCTTATGTTATACTTAATGAAAGTATGAATAAACTATAATAATTATATATATTAATTTAATAATTTTATACCCCTAAAAACTAAAATAATTATATAATATAATTATATATATATATATATTAAATTATGTATTTTAATGTTTCGAAGTAATATTTATGTGGCAAAGTGTGATATGTGCAAATTTAAGAAAAAAATATATTTTTCTTAACGGTTCATAACGGGTCGGATCACTTTACCCGTTGGGTAAAGTGACCCGACCTGTTAAGATAACATGTGTGACACGATACGACCCGTTAAGATAACAGGTGTTACACGAAAACGACACGAACACGACAGACACGACCCGTTTGCCAGGTATTCATAGAAATAAACGAGCATGTGTGTTTGACATTTTTTATTTAAAATGTATTCTAATTATTTTAGGTATTCATAGAAATAAACGAGCATGTGTGTTTGACATTTTTTGAAATTTAAAAAAAATAAATACATATAATACGTTACTAAGATCATAAGAATGATTACTCAAAAGATCAATAGTTTATTGTGTGTGCAAAAAGTACACAATTTTTCTTTATAGAGTGTATTTGGATTATTTTTGCCATTTATGGAAACAAACAAGCGTACATTTGACACCCTTTGGAACTTAAGCAAATAAACACAAATAATACGCTATTAGGACCATAAGAATAAATACTCAAAAGATCAAAAAGCTTGGATTTTGAATTTAATTCATCGTGCTTAATTGGGTTTTTAATTTATTTTATATTACTTAATTGGGTTTTTATGTAGCATCTCTATCTATATAAATGTGAAAATTTACAGTTAAATTTTTTAAATTGATTTCTGGGGTTTGTGAATTTTAAACGAAAAAATTCTGCAATTAATTGCAGAAATTGCTGGGTGTAAAAAAAGCAGAAAGAAAAAGGAGAGAGCAGCAGCAGCAGCACCAGTAAAAGTATAATAGACAGGAGCAGTAGAGTGGCTGCAGCCCACAGAAGCACAAACAAGAGAAAATAGTATTGGGAGAGATTGGTTGCGAGTTTTAAAAGAGTTGGGATCTCGAGGCCTCAAAATTCAAACATCTGGTAACTCAGAGAGTAAGAATTTGCAGCTGTTTCCTTTCCTTCCTCCGCCATTTTCTATTTGTAGTTTGAGTGTGTGAGTTCAGAGTATTGGGTTGGATACAAATAAAGCAGTGTTAGCTGAGTTGTTGAAATGTTTGCAGCAGCGACTCCACAATTACAGGGGGGTCGGTCATATTCAACAATATCTCAATTCATCTTGCTTTGCTTCCATTGCATTCAAACACACCACTGGAGCTGGAGGAGGTAATACTAATTATTATACTATACTAATACTATTGTTACGCCTTGTTTCTACGTTCTGACCCTTATTCTGTATCTCAATAAACTATTACTAATTTAGTACGTCGTTTTTAGTAGTCAGTTTTTGTTTTTTCGTTTTTTGACAAAAAAATCATAAACGCTTACATTTTATAGTTTCTTACACTGGCCTTGTTAAGTCACCGAAAATTAAAAGGGCATGTAAGAAGCTAAACAGAGTGTGTAAAAATCAGCTGTGTTTTTTTCTTAACCGAAAAGGAAAAAGTCACAAGTTTTCAATATTGGCTTTTAGTTAAAATTTTTGTTTTCATTACCAAACGACGAAAATTAAAAACTGAGAACGAAATAGTTATCGGATGTTCTTTGGCATTCTAACTCCGTCATTTCAGGGCTTTTGGTTATTTCCGTCTTTCTATTTTATTTTATTAGTTTAGTTTTGGGTGTATTCAAGTTCACTAATATTGTTATAACAGTAACTATAAAGAACTAGCCAAATTAATTCATTTAAATTTAGTGTTGATATTTTGTTTGCTATTTTGGAGTCGTCAAGTTCGGTTCCTCGTACTTATCCATGCTTGTGTTTTTAATATCATTCAGTTGAATTGCTTTGCTTTGGAATGTGGATGCTTCATCCTGTCTGCATAGTTAACGAGAAAAACTCGGTCCGTGAACTGGGGACTTTGCTGCGGATTATTATTTACTAAAGAAGGTTGCCTGCAACTTCGAGTGAAGGAGGAGGGTCTGGAGGAAATGTGGAACTTTGGCCTCAAGTGACAGACATGCTGAGCTCTGATCAATCTTATGATGAAGAAAATGATGTGTTCTTCGACTCGGAGGACTTGTCACCTACACGATCACTCATAGCGAGTGAGGAGTACAAAATTTGGATGAATGAGCCACCAAGTGTTAAGGAGAGACGGGAGAGTTTTCTGCGAAAAATGGATTTAGTTGAGTTTGATTCTGCAAAGTTTGCTTCTGTGGATATGGGATTGGAAAGAGTTTCGGAATGCAGTGGAGCTTCCCCAAGCTCTTGCATTTCGTCTTCTAGTCGTCATCAAGCAAACTTTATGTATAATACATTGGATAGTAACATACAAGGTAGCTCAAATTTGGCCTGGACTCACGATGCAGTTCATATTGCTTCACCTTCTGCTACGGGTTCTGCTCGGAGAGAAGCTGAGGCTCCAGAAAAAGAATGTTGGAATTCACAGGAGGGTGAAAAGAAGACGAAAGTTTGGTGGAAACAGTTTATAAACAAGAGGAAGAGAAGAGGAGGTAAAGTTGTGTCAGAGGTATCGAAACCAGATACTGAAATACCGAAACAAAATAGGATGATGGTCAAGCAGAATGGTAAGAAGTGCATGGAGTTCACTGCACTATGCAGCGGGCAAGAAATTCATGCGCACAAGGGGTTCATTGGGGTGATGAAGTTTAGTCTCGATGGCCAGTATCTCGCAACTGGCGGTGAAGATGGGATTGTATGCATCTGGCGTGTTACATTAACAGATGTTTCTTGTACCTACTTAACACCTCAAGGGAACTTTGATGGCAAACTTAAGAAAATAAAGTCCGGTTATCGCGTGATCTTTCCTGAAAAGGGTTTTCGAATTCAGGAGTCACCGCTGCAAGAGTTTCATGGCCATTCCAGTGATGTGTTAGACCTGGCTTGGTCGAGTTCAAATGTGAGTATATCGTAACGTTACCTATTTCGTTGACTGATATATAATCATCTTTACAACTTTGCAGCTTGTGACTGATGTTAATTTATATATATGCTCATTGCAGTATCTTCTTTCTTCGTCCATGGATAAAACTGTTCGTCTGTGGGATGTTAGTTGCGGTGACTGCCTAAATGTTTTCGATCACAATGACTATGGTAAGGATAAAAATAAATATCCTAGTTCTGTTTTTATTTTCCCTCAAATTTGTATATGATATGATAATCTGAAATGTAATTGTTCAAATGTTTAAATGGTACCAGTGACGTGCATTCAGTTCAATCCTGTCAACAACAATTATTTCATAAGTGGATCGATAGATGGGAAAGTTCGAGTTTGGGGACTCTCTGATAACCGAGTTGCTGACTGGGCTGATGTTCGAGATGTTATAACTGCTATATGTTATCAACCAGATGGAAAAGTATGATTCTTAATACCTGATTAGCCATGATTTTATTACACTGCTACTAAGATTATAAACTTGAGAGTTCTCTCCTCTATGATGCTAACCATATGGTTTTCTGCTGCGCAAGTAGGGTTTCGTGGTTGGTTCCGTTACAGGCACTTGCCACTTCTATGAAGCATCAGGTACATAAAATTCCTGTTATCTTCGTGTTGATATTCAAGTGTTTGCATTTTCCTCACCTGGGGAGTTGTTAAACCCATTTTGTGGTTGGACAGGGGACTATCTTCAGCTGGTTGTGCGAATGCGTATTCATGGTAGGAAGAAAACCTCTGGCAACCAAATCACTGGCATCAAGGTTCTGCACTCAAAGCTCTTTCAAAATTTTCTTTTCCGCCACGCTTGTATAAGATGTTATTTTTCTGATTCATTCATTAACATTAGGATTTATTTTCTGCCCAGTTTTGCCAGGAAAAGTCGCAGAGAGTTATGATAACATCAGAAGACTCGAAAGTCCGTATATTTGACGGAGTAGAACTTACAAGGAAATACAAAGGTGTGGATGCTTACCATATCTTGATTTGGGTAGATGATATGACGCCCCATTCTCTTGCAGCATATGCTCAAATTTGCATCTTACTAGTACATTGTGTTTGTTCTCGGTTAATGAAAGCATTCATTGAATAACTAGATTTTTCTGAATGTAACAGGTCTTGCAAAGTCGGGAAGTCAGACGTCAGCTTCTTTTACATCGAGCGGGAAACATATAATTTCAGTTGGAGAGGACTCACGTGTTTATTTGTGGGACTATGACGAGCCGTGTGTCTCATCATCATCCAAACAAACGAAATCTGTTCAATCCTGTGAGCATTTCTTATGCGAAGGTGTGTCTGTCGCGGTACCTTGGCCAGGCATGAGAAGAGAACAAAGGAGCTTGGAAACACCAGGCCATCTGGAGGCTGCTCCAGGAAGCAGAGATTCAGAATGTTTTTCTCTTGGAAATTGGTTTTTCTTAAATGGTCCGTGCAGGGGTGGCTCTGCAACTTGGCCCGAAGAGAAACTTCCTCTGCCTTTATGGGATTTACCGGTCATACGAGATGAAAATGGTCAGTGTCACTGGCAACGTCAAGTTCACCATCGTCAGCAGCAGCAACACAATAGAGCACTCAATCACACCGCTGAATCAGAACCATGGGGGCTTGTCATTGCAACAGCTGGATGTGACGGAACAATCAGGACATTCCATAACTACGGATTGCCAGTCAGATTGTAAGAGTTGGTTTGGATCACCCTGCACTGGCTCCAACCTCACTGAATCAACACGCAACGAAACACAACGCAACAAGAGTTAAGCCTACATTTCCATGTTTTTTCATGTCAGTCGAGCGTCCGTGGCAGTGCCCATGAAGATGTAGGTGGCTTAATTATGTAGTTTTTCAATCTTTACATTTTTTTGTGAATATTAATTTGGCGCCGACAGCATAGGAAATACGTACAATTACACAGTCGTCCCAGCCAGAATAGGACTAGAGTCGTTTTCGCAGAGCAGAAATGAATACTCATATTGTACAATTTCAATTATTGTTTTAGCCAATCATGTATAGAAAACGCGCTTCAAAAGCATCCTTACCTACAGCTTTTGAGCTATTTATCGTCCTTGTATTTTGAGAACAATGCAAGATCAACAGCTTACTCAACAATTCGTCTGTCCTGGTGAATCTTTTCTATCAAGCTCCCAAGAGATGAGAAAGTGGCCTGTTTCATTTCACACCCAAATATTAGAAAGAGATCGATGACAGGACAGGGACGACAAATTGAGGTATGCAGCCGACTATAATACGATGCAGTTCCTCCCCATAAAAATCCTCATCGAAGTCGTGAAGCAGCCATGGCTCCTGCATTTCAAACTACATGTAAGAAAACAACAAAAGAGCTTGCAAAGGCAACCGATACTCATGACCATTTTGAAGACGCCTCGCGTTGATAATCCATCCCAACCAAATAAAATATACCCCGGAGGGATGTTCGGAAAGAAGAGATGAGCATTCAAAATATTAGCTACATCTGAAATACAACTTATATATGTCATCTCAAACTAAGAACAGCAGTTATAACTCTTTCATCTTAAGACAAGTAGTATGAACACCTAAGGCTTCACTCTAACACGGCTGTTGGGATCCCGAGTACTTTTGAGTCTCCCCGCTTACGTACATCATGGGCCAAGCAGTGAGGCCCAACGTATGGCACAACAGAATTCTCAACAACTCTCTGAATTGCAAGGTCTATTGGGCGACTTGGAGGAGATATTTGTACTTCCCTCTGAGGTACTCCTCAAAGAGCATATATATGACCATAAAACTCCATTGGTTCCTAGAGCAAAGCCACCTAGTATCAAGCCCTACCATTATGGTCCAGCTCAAAATACTGAAATTGAGAAGGCAGTGCAAGAGCTTTTGCAATCTGGTTTCATTGGCTTAGCCATGACTCATTTTCATTTTATGTGTCGTTGGTGAAGAAGAAATAGGGAACATTTGATTGATGACCTATTTGATGAATTGTTTGAAGCAAAATTTTTCTCTAAGCTTGACTTAAGATCAAGATATCATGAGATTAAATTGAATCATGCATATGTTGAAATGACTCGTGAGAGATATTGTGAGTTTCTAGTCATGCCCTTTGGACTTACTAATGCTCTTGCCACTTCCAAAACTTAATGAATGACATTTTTAGACCCTTCCTCAGGCAGTTTATACTAGTATTTTTTTATGACATCTTGGTTTATAAAAAAACTTGGGAGGATCACTTGTCTCATTTGTACAAGGCCCTCAAGTTACTCCATGAGAACCAATTATATGTGAACAAGAAAAAGTGTATATTTGGCCAAAGTAGAGTACTTGGTGCACATTGTTTCTAGAGATGGGGTAGCTGTTGATCCTGCAGAGATTCAAGCCAGTTAGGATTGGTGAATTCTTGCCAATGTGAAAGAATTGAGAGGATTCATTGGGCTCACGGGATACTACGGTAAGTTAGTTCTTGGTTATGGGAAATATATGTTAACCACTTTATCAGTTAACCAAAAAAAATAGGTTTTTGAGTTGATGAACCCAAACAATATGATTGGAGGTAGAAAAGTTTGACGAAGTTCGCATTGTTTTGGCCGCAAAGAGAGGAAGAACAGGACGCCATGAGGGGAATGGACATGGGACGACAAAAATGTTTTTGTTTTGTTTTGTTGGTTGGGACGGCAACGAAAGGAGGAGATGAGAGAAAACCCTAGGACCTAAGGAAATCTAGACGAGTAACATCATATAGAATTATAACTTCTTGTATTGATGTGTAGAAAATATTTTAATATAGAATTATATAAATTCATATCAATAATAGGATTCATTCACTAATTACAATTAGAAATTACATTCCTATATGACAGGCTACAATTACAAAAATGATTTCAGATTAATTAATTGTATTCTAACAGGTTAATAACGTCAATAACGAACTGAGTTTTAGTCATCCAAAGGTGGAAGTTTTTGTTGGTTGCATAGGCCTACAAAGGGTAAATTACTTATTCAAAGGGCAATATAGTAATAAGGAAAATGAGGTATGTTTGGTTGAATTTCAAAACATTTTTTTAGAGAATTTTAATGAAAAGTTCCTGGTACTTTTTAATGAAAAATCATATTTTTATATTAAAAAGTCAATTTTAATACTATTCACTTTACCTTTTATTTTGTTCTTATCGTTAAAACTTCAAATTTTCAAATCATTTTTATTAGTTTTCCTTTTTTTTTATTGAGGTAGGACTTTTGCCAAAATCAATAGGATCCTCTCTGCATTTTTGGTGTGGATATTGGGGATTTGTGAATTATGTTCGTTTATTGTACATTGTGTGGTTAGTTTTTATTAGGTAATGTTTGTGTTTAATTTTAAATAAATATATTTAAAATAATTTTTGACCGTACGATAAAGATAAACGAACATGATTAACGAATTCCCGAGATCCTCACAAAAAGAACCGGCGAGGATCCGGATTCGAGAGGGAAAGGAGAGAGGCATGTTATCTTGCTTGGTTTGGTCAAGCAGCAGCTACAGCTTGGCGCTAGGAGAACTAAATTAAGTTACTTTGACTTTCAGTTATTCATGGCGGCAATTTCGCCCTCCTCCTTTGTCTCTGTCTCCTCTTCCACCTCCTCCTCTTCTTTTTCATGTCCGCCTCTGACTTGTTTGAAGCGCGCTTACAATGGTGTGCCGGTGAGTAAACAGCCTCCACGTGGGCGGTTGGCGGCGGTTACCTGCTCATCTTCTGAAATGGGCTCCGGTTCCGACTCCGTGAATCACCGCAGGTATGCCGCTACAAGAACATGACTTTCCTGTATTTTTTATTACTGTAAATTGTTATGGGTAGCCGCTTAATTTCAGTTTTGTTGTCGGAATTAAGGGTCCTTGAATGTAACTATCAACTGACTCTAGCTTTCGACCAAAAAAAAACTGACTCTAGCTAAAAGTTACTTGTAGTAAACTACTGGTAGGGTTTAGTAAGTATCAACAGACTGTTGGGTGCAGGGTGCAGCGATTTCAGTTTCACTTGGTGGTTCCTTAATTAACTCGCATGCTCCTCAGTTACACTTGATTTTGTTGTCAAATATCCAATCTTGTAGGATATATAATAATCAGTCTGTTCTTCAACCCTGGATCTTCCCCTGGATGATTTAATCATTTTCGCTTTTTCATATCTTGTTCTTGGGATAGATATCAAGGGGTGTGAGAAAATTGTCTTTCTTGGTTGTCGAATTGTGTGAGAAAATGGCAATGTCTTTTTTTTCATCTAGTAGTAGCGTTTGGTAGTGTTGGCTTGGATACCATTGCTCTAATATCTACCATTTTAACTTCATATCTTTTGAACAGTCATACTCAAATATCATCTATGGCTCCCTTTGGGGTGACAATGAATGGGAATGGCTCGTCTGGACCATCTTATAAGTGGCGAAGGGTTTTGCTTAAAGTTAGCGGAGAGGCACTTGCCGGAGATCATACACAGACTATTGACCCAAAGGTCTCATAAATTTTTAAATCATCCTATGATAATTATCCTTCTCTTATTGGTTTCTGAAGCATGAACAGTTTGGCCCGTTGATAATATTAGGTAACAATGGAAATTGCAAGGGAGGTTGCATCTGTGACTCGCCTTGGCATTGAGGTAATGCTCAACACTTGACATTAAAGAACTGTACTTTACATGACCTTTTCCTTTTATGTACATGAAGGCAAGGGCACACACACAGAGGTCGTATTCTTCTCATTATATTGTTTACCTGTGATGTTGGTCATTACTGTAACCTGTTTATAAAGTTAAACGGTAGTGAAATTTGGGGATTCAAGAATTATCTATGTGAGGATGAACGTGCAGTCTGGGAAATGCTTCATGATAAGAATGGGACTGTAGGTTATTTTTATTATTTAAATATCCAACAGAATGCAGGGATAGCATAAACAGGAATAGTTTGAATGTTTTAGTAATCTCCGTAAAGTGCTCAACAGATTGTACTAGTGAGATTTGTTTGCTCATGATCCAAAACATAGTTTACTGTGTTCTGTATGGTTTAGTAATCTTAGTTAAGTATTTCAGGTTGCAATTGTAGTTGGCGGGGGAAATATCTTCCGTGGATCTTCCTGGGTGGGAAGCGGCGGTCTTGACCAATCATCTGCTGATTACATCGGGTAAATTCCTTAGTGTTGTTTGATGTCACCTGTGTAGACTTTTTTCCAGTTGCATTTTTACATAATTCCTTTCATTGGGTGATTACTTGATCTGGTTCATATCATTTTTTCAGGATGTTGGCAACTGTCATGAACTCAATATTTCTTCAAGCAACAATGGAAAGTATCAACATCCCTACTCGAGTGCAGACTGCCTTTCGAATGTCTGAGGTTGCAGAGCCTTATATACGTCGAAGAGCTATAAGGCATTTGGAAAAGGGGAGAGTAGTAATCTTTGCGGCTGGAACTGGAAATCCGTTCTTCACCACTGATACTGCTGCAGCGCTTCGTGGTGCAGAAAGTAAGTAGTCCTGAATATTCCCAAATGTACTGATTAATATCAAGTCTTCTCGTATTTATCTAGTCCTAAATTTACTGAATTGCAACTTGTCTATGGTGGCAAATATCAATCGTTTATCCAGTCAATGCAGAGGGCTAAAAGCTACAGAAGTATTTTCTTTTGTTTCAAACTTATCATTTTGCTTTCAATTGTGGGCGTAGTCAATGCAGAGGTAGTGTTGAAAGCTACAAATGTTGACGGGGTTTATGACAACGATCCAAGGTGTGACCCGAATGCCCGTCTTCTTGAGAATTTAACATATCAAGAGGTGATGGCGAAAGATCTTTTGGTGATGGACATGACCGCCATTACCTTATGCCAGACAAACAAAATTCCTGGTATGTTTAGACAAGCATCTAAAATTTTGCAACCATACTTGTGAGCTGAACATGCTGTTGTTTCTTTCCCATGATGCAGTTGTTGTGTTCAATCTGAACAAACCTGGTAACATCTCAAAAGCCATAAAGGGGGAGAAGGTTGGCACCTTAATTTATAAGGAGGATGCTTACCGCTGAAGCTCTAAGTCCGAAAAATGTCAGAATGCGAGTTCAAAATGATTCGAGAGTGACCAGCATGGGAAGAACAGTATGACGTCAAAGGATACAACGTACCACTAGCGTTCGGCATCTTTTTCTTTATTTGATGAACGGTCTTCAGCATTGTAAGGGTAAATGAATTTTGAATTTTGAAATTTCCATTTGGCCTCATCGTTTTTGAGGTTTTGGAGAGCTGTTGGTAGATACGGATTCCGAACAGTGAACTGTAGTGATCATATGACAATGTAGGCATATATCTGTCCTTTTACAAGCGATATGCAACTGGGTTGAACAGTCCAAGACGAATGCCCTACCCAACCACTTCAGCGATATTTTTGTTTAAACTAATCTAAATAGCGAAATTCAAATGAATAATTATCATTAGAGTAAATTTGTAAAACTCCATCCGAATTACAAAATGATTACAAAGACTGGGGCTGAGAGTAACAAATTAATTACAATTGCTAAAATGTAAAAATGCAACGAAACTGAGGACCGGGCAGCAAATTGTTGAATTATCAAACGTAGTGTAAGAAATGGTTGAAGAGGTCCCATGAGCAGGGGCTGGGAGAAACCAAAGCAGAAGCCGGCCCAGGGCTATTGGCCATCCCCATCCAATTATTAAACATTGGGCTGCTTATGACGTCATGCTGATGTTGATGTGAGAATAACCCACTTGGGACCGCCGGCAGAGACGCTGGCGCCGGAGACAATATGCCCGGAAATTGACCCATTTCGTCAAGTTGCACTGACCCTCCTCCTCCTCCGCCTCCTTGAGCTTCAAGATTATTGAAAATACTTGTCATGAAGTCGTCGTCAATGCTAGTACTAGTGGTGGCGGCGCCGGCCACGACCTTGTTGTAATCCGAGGTTGAAGAATTAGGGCTTGTCTTGTGTACGGAGGCGAGCCTTGCAGCCGGTGAGAGGCCGTCGGCGGAGGAGGAGGGCGGAGAGGTGGAAGGGCCGGTGAGGCGTTGGACTAAGGACATAAACTCGTTTTCTGTGGCGTGGATAACTTTGGGAGAGACTGAGTAGATCACCACCGGCTGTGGAGGTGGATGGGGATGCTGGGTGTATGCTGGGTGTGGATGTGGGTGGGGGTGTGGCGGTGGCTTCTTGATCTTGACGGAGTCCTTGTTGACTCTGAGAGGGGAAGGGCGTGGACCTTGGAGTTGTACCTCCTTTTTGGGTGTTGGAGGAGGCCTTGCTGGTGGCGCTGGGTTCATATTTTCTCTCTCTCTTCAATTCTGTGGGAGTATGAATTTTGGAGAGGGAGAGAGCAACTGGCGGAGGAGTGGGTTGGGCTGAATAATCAATGACCGTAGGGCAGCTAAATCTAATTAATAGGAACGAAGACAATTCTTTCGTTTTGTGTTTTTTCCAATGACTTGGCCTGCACTGCACTATTGACCATGGGTAGCTAGCCACAGGTGTTGACTGGGAATTGAATAAATTATTCTTTTATGTCCCATAAACATAAGTCAAAATCATGTGTTCACAAGTTTTTTTTTTTTAGGAGAATGGATTATCTCATTTCTTTCTTTTTTTTCTCTCCCCTTCATTCTCCACCTATTTGAACGGTCATGATTAAATCATGTTAACAGTTTATATTAATTTTTTTTATAAAAAGAGAAAGACAAAATAGAGATTATGAGAGGAGGAGATGGAAAAAGGAGGAGAGATAATCCTAGTCATTTTTTATAATCCACTTGGTGCTATTGTTTAATTTAGAGGGAAACGTTTTATATTCGACTCCTCTGTAGATGAAGAATTCAATATATGATTAACATGGTTAATGATAGGAAGACAAAATTTTTAAATCAAATTTCCAAACCAAATGATGTGGTTGTAGATGATTTACTACAAAATTCAATCTTAACTAAATCTCAAAATCAACTATTTTATTGTTCATAAGCACAGTTTACTTCACCCCCTGCTTAATTTCTATTATTCGGATATTATCATGTTTGATAAATCAATGTGAATTTGGATCGACCATTTTTCTGGGGCACTGTTGTAAGATTCCACATCGCCCAGGAGTGAGGATCCTGTAAGCCTTATATGTATATTCTCATCTCTACCTAGCACGAGGCTTTTTGAGAGCTCATTGGCTTCGGGTTCCATCAAAACTCCGAAGTTAAGCGAGTTCAGGCGAGAGCATTTCCAAGATGGGTGACCCACTGGGAAGTTCTCGTGTGAGTTCCCAGAAACAAAATCATAAGGGCGTGGTCGGGGCCCAAAGCGAACAATATTGTGCTATGGTGGAGTCGAGCCCGGGATGTGTGGGGGGCCGGGCCGAGATGTGACAACTGTGCTTAAAATCAATATGTCCATTTCATCTTCTTCTTTCCTTTCTCTGCTGAACATTATTTTATCACTCTCTCTCTCTCCCTTTTTCTCTCTCTCTCAACATCACTCTTCTGCTTGACATCGTCTCTCATTTCTAGACCCATCCACAAACATAGAAAAACCCCTAAACCACCACGAATTCAAGTCCAAGCCCAGTTTCGCGATTCAACATCATTTTCTTCCATGATTTCACAATAGAATTTGTCAGCTCAAATGTATTTAAAACTCAAGAACGTTTGTTCAGAACGAGGAGAATATAAGGCCTCATTACTAGTAAGCAAAGTACCATTGGGCAACACGAATTGGCTTTTGACATGCCCTTTTATCAATAGCGTCAGGCCATGGATTGCTATTGTCGAGGATTCAGTAGGCATGAAGTTGAGGGAATAAATGTGGTTATGTTAAACAATGTTTGTGGTAGCATTGTCTACCAGTCGATCAACTTCATGGAACATATGCATATGAAAATTTTAAGTTAAGTCACACAACAAGTTTTCAAGGTAAACTTTGTTGACTTAAATTATTCAAGAACTGAAATCCAAAAGAAGTAAAACAATAACCATAAAGGGGTTAAAAAACCAATAGTTTGCTCAAAATGGCCCAATAATCCGAAAATAAAAAAGAAATTATCTGAAGACATTAAGGAAAATTCTAAGTTGGCTACATGCCAATCACATCCATTAGTAGTCATCTTGCTCCATGAAATTCAAAACGACTCAAGCCGTGTCATTTTGGACAACTTCGGTTGACTTCTCTCTGACTACGGTTGTGATATCAATCAACAACATCGACATGTGTGAGCCTAGTGATCAATTCCACCACAAAAGAAGCAAATAATTGACTTGTTTATTGGTTCGGGACTATTAGCCTTATCGTTAATGTTCCTATAATTCTTGCAAGGTCAGTACCCTTAGTTTGAACCAACTTACCTTTCCCCTTGTTGTTCTTCTGACCTGGGACGAATGACCATTCTACTAACACGGTTCCTTTTCCTTCTCTTGGAAACATTCACATTGACTTGTGGCAATGGAACAACATTGGAACCAGTAGGTCGAGATTTATAATTTTGCATCAGCAAGTTGTTTTTCTCAGCTAGAAGGAGAACCGATGTGAGGTTTGAGAACCTTTGTTACCTTTGCTCTCGATACTGCTGTTAGAGACAATATTCGACGCTTTAAAGGTGGAATAGGTCTTCTCTAATAGGTTAGAATCAATGAGTTCTTAACCACAAAACTTTAGAATCAACCGACTTCGGAGACATACTCAACGATAGTTTAAGTCCTGGAAGCGGAGATTATGCCAATCGTTTCTTACTTGAGGCGTTGAATATCAGTTTCTGTTAATCAAAGTGCACTAAGGCTTCGACTTCGGGTCCTCCTTAGCTAGGAATTCTATTTGCAGGGCTTCTGCCATGTGATTTCGAATGAAAATAAGGGCGTTTGCTTTCTGGTACTCATTCGCTTCATCATCTAGGATTGTGTTTGGTAGCTTCCTCACCATGAAGTGCATATTGAGCTCACTTGGGTTAGTTGGTGCTAGAAATTGTATTTGGTGGGTTCGGTTTAAAAAGGAAAGTTGAGGGCATAGGGATCAATACTTACCAGTCGCCTACAAAGAAGAAAAAAATGGGAGAAAGAGGCTTGGCAAAAAGGCAAGGGAGGGGTAGAAGAGCGAGAACTGCAGGGTTGAGCATACGAGAAGGTTACTTGGAATGGGAATGGAATATGAATCAAGCGGAGAATCTTCATAAGGTTCATGTCAGATTGGGTGATATTGGGGTAAATATTGAAGGTGGTGGTGGTTGGCCTGAAACAGCTGCAAAGTCGCCATGATCTACATACTTTGGAACTACCATGGTCTTGGGTCGGACACTATAGTTCGAGCCCTACATGGGTATATACGTAAATATAGACCCTATATGGTTTTTTGATAGGAGCATATTTATGCGACTGAGTTAGCTTGTTCTCATGCATTTATGTTGTTATTTCTTAGTTAATTATGTATTTTAAGCTATTTTCGTGTGTTTGTAGGTCCATAGGCCTTATAAAGTAATAAAATGCATTTTCGTGCATTTTGGAGCAGTTTTGGGCTTGGAATGAATAGCACATGCATGGAGCAAGGTGGATGGACAAAATTTAAGACTAAAGAGGCTAGGAATATGTTAAAGAGAAAGAAGAATTAATGTGAAAATGATAAAGAGCTCAGCCACAAAGGGGTGTCACTCCACAATTCACCTTTCCATCATTGTCGTGCACCACCATTGCACTCCCTTTGGATTCCTATGTCGTGCATCATCATCCATGTTCCCTCCATTGACTCATTTGTTGCATCATTCCACTTCCTTTCCTTTATCTACCATGTGCACAATATCCTTTCACCTCTTTGCACTCATTGATTCACCACTTACTCACCTTTCCACCCATGCCATGCATAATCACCCTTGTCCCCTTCATTATTTCAGATTTCATGCATCATTACATTGAATCATTGCACTCAATTGCTACACCATTCATTGTTCCCTCCATCATTTCAGATTCATGCATCATTACATTGAATCATTGCACTCAATTGCTACACCACTCCATGTTCCCTTCCATTGCCATGCAATTCCTCTATAAAAGGAAGTGTGTGTAACGTAAATGGAGTTGATACTTGGTTAGATCATTCACTCCCATTTCAACACAACCTTCATCCAAACACATCCATTCATCTTCACATCCATTCCTCCATACAAACAAACCTTCAAACACTCACCAACACCTTGTGTCGTAGCAAAGGAAGGGAAGGAAAGTGCTTGGACGTGCTTGCTGTCCAACTTGGATCGTTGGAGCGTTTAGGTGTTTTCTTTCTTTTGTTTCTAATGTTTAAATTCATTTCCTTTCATTTTGTTGTAAATATGAGTGGCTAAACCCCTCTTGGCTAGGGGTGATTTCAAAGCCATGATTATGTGTGCAATATAATTTGATAAATTCCAGTTATGAACTCTTGAACTGTGAATGCAATTGGCTTAACTATTTGATTGATAACTTATTTGTATTTGTTAATTAAGGGTCGACACTTAATTGGCATGCATAAATCCGTTGCTAGAATATAAGAAAGTTTCATATAATCGTTACAAACTTATATTCACATGTAGTGAAGGTCGCTTATAAACGATCGCGTTAAGTTTAATTCTTAGCATAAGCGACATGATGTCATAGTTGCAAGTGCTTTGTCAATGCTTATGATTTTCCTTAAACGTAATGATCTTTGATTGTATCTCTATTATGATGTCATGTAGGGAACTTTTGAAGAATGTTTTGGGTTGTCGAATGATGTCATCCAATCCAATAAAACAAGGAAAATCTGAGAGTTAACTAGTAATGTCACGGTTAATTTGGAGCATTGTCGTTCATAATTCAATGAAGTAGTAACTAGAAATCAAGTTATTTGCATACATATCATGTGTGGAGAAAAAGCCTCTAGCTATCCCATCCATCATCTTATTTCTCAATTTATTTTACAATCTGTCTAGTTTTTCATACTTGTTTGTTTGTTACAACATCCTCCAAATCAAAACCCCCCTTTTAGTTTCTTGTTTCAAAGTGTTTCAAATTTGTTTTAATTTGTGTTTTAAATGTTTTGATTCAAGTAAAAATCAATTTTCGTCCAAAGTCATTCCTAGTGTCTAGTTTAAGTTTATTTGGTTGTTTTAAGCTGTTTTGAGTATTTTAAGTTTGCTTTGAGTCTTGTGAGTCTTGTTAAGTGTTTTTAAATTTAGTTTTATGTTTTTGAGTTAGTTTAGAGATTATTAGCAAGCCCTCCTAATCCCCAGTCCAGAATGATCCCTACTTATACTTATACTACAATTGTCAAAAGAGGGTTAAATTTGTGTGTT